AAGGAACTCAAAAACAGCTAAAAATGTTGCACGATCTGGGAATCCTGTATAAAAAGCTATATCGGTGTCTTCAGGAAAGGAATTCACTGAAAAAATGCGAGACTGCAAGTCAATATTGTGTTCTCGTAGGGAGGCTGTTGAGTCAGTCAAGTACTTTTTTTCTCTTTCGGAATTTCGAAGTTTGTCCTCAAGTGTTTTTATAGTTGCACACATTGTTAGGTAAGCGTTTTCTTCTGATAGCCCTTGTTGTATTTGATATTCTGAAAAGCTGCATTGAGCACTTTCAGCTGTCGGCATTGCATCGCAATTCGGTGGAAATTTTGAAGGAATTGCATCCTTTGCCAAATTTACACGTCCATTTGAGGACTCGAACATTTCATTTTCAAGAAAATGAATGGAGCAAACTTTCGATTGAGCGTTTAATACCTCGTCTTCCAATCCTATAGCTTCAAGCCATTGTATTCGCAAAGACTCTTTATCTGGAAGCTTAAAATATGAGACTTTAGTCTCACTTTTTGAATTTTCGAATCCTTTTTGACGACACTGAGGCACACAACAATACCTTACATTAGGCATTTTAAAATCAGCACTGACTGGATTCCCTTCGAGGCACCTATTTTATACTATAAACCCAAGAATGCTTGTAACAATTTCATTGTACAGTTAAATTTGTTTTATTTTGTATGAAGATGGTGACGCTGTGATTTCATTTGAATTTTTGAAAAGTAGAACTAGTTTGGCCTTACCTTGGATTAAATCCTTGTCAATCCAACAACAAAGAGCAAACAGTTGATCAAATTTGTACTTGCTTCGTAAAGATTATACCTTTCTGAAGAAGCTGTATCATCACGCAGCTAACACTCAAAAAATATTACAATTTTGAGACAACAACCGGCGTAAAGCCATTAAATGCCGCCGCCATGGCGCCTTGTTTCAAACTTTGATACTCTAGCAGACGCGAAAGGGTTTCCCCTGTTGTCGAAGCTGTGCGTTTTCCCGCGTTTCCCCCCGTATCCTAGGATACGAGGCCTCGATCACGATTTATGAATAAGGTCTATATAGACAAAGAAAAATTGTATAAAAAATTATAAAAAGAATTGGTTTATATTTACTGTATATAATTTACAGCATTGACCACAGGCATTAGTGCTGTATAATATTTCATATTTCGTGCTTTCAGAACCCCAAACATCTACACCATTAAAAATAAAGGTCAGATGACAAACCCTTTCTCATGTTGAGTCACCTGTACAAACTACAAAGTCATGAGCCTTTCCAACAACAGAAGGACCATGCAGTGGGATGTGAAACATGTGAAAGTTGAAAAAGGATTCGAGTGCATTCCAGTTCTCATTTCAAAGGTTATCCAATGAGCAACGGATCGACTGCATGATGATGGCTATATTACCCACCATGTTTCCTTAAATGCAAGCGACGCAGGCCACATTGCTCCCCATTGTTGCACATGTATCACCACCAGCAACAAAGGACATGTATACCAAAACGAAAACACTGATTTTTGCAATAACTGATGTAACAGTGGCACATTCCAATTTTGTACAAAATTTATGCAATTTCTAATGTATATTATATAAAAAGTCATTATTTACTATATACATACATATGATTAAAATCAAATTCCCTTTGCTTTAGAAAGTTTACCAAAGGTTCATGAATATCATCGTTCTCTGTAACACATATAAACTCCAGTCAAAAGTCTTATTTTGAAGACTACACAAGAGGGGCAAACACTGCGATTCCCTTTGCCCAAATATCCATGCCGAGCCCATGTGTGAACATAATCCGTACTCCTTATTCCTCTTCTTAGGCTTCTAATTGCCAGTTTTCTCACTGTGTCTTCATCCAGTGTATGAATAAATGCCTGTGAATTTAATAATGTATTTTATAATAAAATAATGAAATGACCATCCAACAGCTTTAACAATTTCTAGCATCAAAGCAAGATAACTGGGGAGGGGGGACCCCCCCCCCAAGTTCAAATCATCTGGATTGGCAGGGCAAATCATCTGGATTGGCAGGGAAATTCTAGCAGACCCCCAAATTAAAAGGGCTAGTTTTGCCCCTGGTATCACCATTCAACAGTTTCAACCAAAGTATTCAACTTAATTAAAGATGCAGTACAGTCAGATCTGTGCATGTGCTCACAGGAGGCCTCTTTTTATTATGCAAACAGTTTATTTAGGTTTTTATTTCATTTTATATTCCTGCAAAGCTTGATCGTTGTGTCTTGATAATTTATTATACTCCAGAATCATGAAAATATAAATAGTCGTCCAATAAAATTCAGTATTTTGGATACTGAAATGTAAACAAAGCCTTTGTTTACATACGGACTGCACCGCATCTTCAAACATGTTTAATATACAGTACCTCATTTTAAAAACGTTTTAAACAATTTAATAAGATGTATTAGAATTCACAAACCTTACAGTATTAATATTATCATTTTCTCAGTGTTGACAGTTGCACGCTGTGTCAGGCCACGGAAATATGTGGTACTTTCGCAAACGTTCTCCTACAACAAAGTAGGATAAACAGTAAATATAATGCGGTATAATATGCAAACACAAATAAAAGATACCGTCAAGTACATTTGATTCGCACACATACCCTATTCTTGCAAGGAGACTGAGGAGTTTTGCGAGTTCTCCACACTTGCAGCTGGCAGAATACACAACGTTCTTTAATATTTGCCTTACGCGGGCAACCTCGGTTACTGTTCTCGTTTCTTTTGGTGGCACATGAACGTTTACAACTATAATTGTTAACCTGTATGAAATGAAGCAATTATTTGGTCTTTTCCGCCCCTGAAAATGTGAATATATGCACATTTTTATAGTCGGAATGTTGTGATTCCGACCTTTTCCGACATATTCCGAAAATCGATATGCGCAGAACGGATGCGCAGCGGGTGACACTGCCGCTTTAAGAAATCATTAATGTTAGACACAACACTTGGCTGGCGAGTGAAAAATAATTTCCAGTCATTTAAACTTATTTTTCCTGTTCGAAGTCTTGATAAATTGCCTTGATAAAATACCACCACTTACTCTAATTAACATCAAGTACCACTACATTGTCAAACATTCTATATGCAAGAGAGCCCTGTTCAGCTATTGGATTAGATGGCTTGTCATGGTACAAAGGCTTATCTCCAACTGATGGTAACTGTGCAGGATCACAAATCAGAATAATCTTTCAAGCCAGTGGCTTGTCTACAACATCTGTCAATCCACCCTATGGTTGTTTGACCCAGCATGGAATATTCATCAATTATGATGTACTCAATGGACAATAAATTGT